AAAATGGCGTTTGTTCTTGAATAAATGCAATGTGACTATAGAAGATACTAAATTAGGTTTCCAGCCCAGCTGGTTGACCTTATAAATGCTGTCAGCCAAATGGTCGCCAGTGTAAATAACACTCATTTTTCTTGGTGTCAAAGCTTTGTAAGTTTAGACTGATCTAAGTGTTGCTGCATGTGCTCAGTTCCCCCTGAGTACAGGACCTCACGGACTGGTTCAGCTCATGGTCTGAGGAAACATACCTCATCTGTTTTATATTTCCTTTGTAGCCACTCTGGAGGCTAATGGAGAGATCTCAGGCTGTGTTGCTAACAGTACAGACTAAGTGATGAAAATCACAATGGAATTCAGACTTCCTCAAAAGTTATACATGTCTGTGGGGCAATTGTGAGTTAATAATCTTTTCCTGAAACCATTTTATATTTAACAATTTTTTTCTGGAATAGTTCTTTCTTTCCCAAAGGAAATTTCCTAAGCTTTACTACTAACACGCATGTAACAAGGTCAGTCCAAATATTACTATCATATCATGTGGTTCTCCATTTGATCAAAATGTAGACAAAAGAAGCAGTAAGAAATTCCTGATGATATGTCAATATCTGTGTTTGTATTAAAATTAGATGTGAGGCTTAATTAGAGAGCAAGAAAATGTTTTCAGAAGTATTCCGTAGTCACTAGCACAACTTAACACTAAGAAAAGAATATATAAGCTGCTTAAGTTTAGTATCTGTCATACCTTTGTGCAATGATGGCACACAGAAGCTTTCATAAACACATATATTGTGCTACGGGATTTACTGTGGCATAGTTTAGACCATCTATTAGCTTCCAAATCTAGTAGTTTAAAATTCATAACAATATTTTCTTCATGTGGTATTTCCCAGGTACTATATTATAATAAAAGAACCAGGAGTTATAGATTGAAAGATTAAAGTAATCCCCATATGCCATGGTTTATTTATAAATTCTTCCTGTATTATGCATGCATCAAAATCCTAATTCCCTACTTCCCATTCATGCACCTTTTAAATAAACACATATTTCTTCACTTTGTTTTATTTTTGCAACCACTATGTATAGAGTTTCTAAAGTTTATGAAGCCCTGTGAGATTAGCAAAAGGGAAGATACATGCAACAACATCAAACTCTATTTTTAGCTTTTTTCCTTGTTTTTCTTGCAAGTATCTTGACTGTTTTTGTCCACACAACAAGTCATCTCTGGCACTGCAAATCTTAAGGATGTTTGTTTTTTTTCTGGGGGCACTCTCAGTGGTGCTCTGTCCTTCTCCTATGCCACGCATGGTGAACAAGCTGTTTTGTACAAAGCTGGAGCAGTCACAAGCAGGTGCTTTACTTTATTAGAATGGATAAAGGCAGAGCAGGAAGTGTACACTGAGTCTTGCCAAACTGGTTGAAAGAAGGGTTGTCACTTTGCCTGTGGATATCTGAATTAAATCATGTGGCTGCTCAAGAGGTAATGTTTGAAAAGTTTTGGGTTTAAATGATCCTTTGTGTCCAAATCTCATTGCAAACCTGAGAGCAAGCTTGAAGTTGGCATGTCCTCCAGGAGCTTGTTGGACCTGAAAGTGGCATAATTTGCTATACAGGAAAATGCCATGTGGTTTTTCCGAGCAGTCATGGTTGATTCTTGAAATTTCCATGAATAAAAGGTTTCCCGTGTTTGTGAATCTCTAGACAGAGCAAAATATATTCAAATATTGCTTTGACTAAAAAGCTTGAAGACATAAACACAACCAAGAGAAACACAGCTGGATTGTAGACACAGCTTGAACTTGCAAGTTTTAAATTTCTCGATGTGTATGTATGTCACGCACACTATTCTGATAGTTGTCTTTGATAGTGACAAATGATCATTTTGGTGGCAAATAGAAATAGAGTTTGTGACATAAAAAGACCACTGCACATCACCATTCATGCTTATTTATCATTTCAAAATGTCTCTCTGAGTAGATGTGTGTCAGGTAAGGTGTCTCTCTGGTGTCTGTCTGTAGCCAGAATTCAGAACATGAGCTTTCTGCTGGACAATAATACTTACATATTTTGATTTCAGAACTGAGTAACTTCCAGGAAACTTACTGTGAATATCAGACTATTATTTTTCACAAGGTATTTTGAGTGCATTGGCATTGTACTGGAACAGCTGAGCACTGAATTTAGCCCATAGTGTACCTCCAGGATTGTGAACTCTTTGAATTGGGTACACGTGATGTGCAACCCTGAAATGTCACATGCAATTTGTTAAACTACAAGGTCATT